ATTCCCTATCCGTCTTCTTGGAAAGCTATGTCCATAAGGTTGACAAGGACTTTTCTCCAAATATGACATCCTAACATCATCTCTAATATTAGGATCGTATGATTCGATAGGGGGCCGTTTTCCTGGATCAGATACAAGATCATCCACTTTGAATTGAGGCCGAGACTTCTTTGTGTTACTTAGTAACTCTTGTGCTCGACTAGAATCGGTGGCGGGACTAGATACACAACTAGATAACGAAGAACTAGGTATGGACTTTCGTTTTGGTTGAAAAAATCGCTCCATCATCTGCAAAACATCTTCACCGTTAATTTTTTTTCAGTTATCCCTAAATTCCCAAATCACAATTCACGTTACACAATTCAAAAGGTAGGTAATACTTATACGGTTAATATCCATCCAAGATAAAACTAAAAACCTATAAACTACCAAATGATTATTTCTAATAAAAATGAAATTTGTCCACCCAAAGGAACCCATATGTATCAGCATGTTTGGCTAAGCTTATAAATAAATAAGCTTTTATTTGTAAAAGTCAAAAATAGAGAACCTTACAAAGTAAACAAAGTTCTGTCATCTGTGCATTTTCTTAAGTTCTGTCATTTCATTTGTTCCATGTCATTTTCTTAAGTTCTATCATCTGTACATTTTTGTTCTTCACATAAATACAATCAGAAAGTAATTCTTCACATACATACAACCAGAAAGTAAACAAAGTCCAAGATAACGTAACATAAGATGCTAAATGCTAAGTGCTAAGTGCTAACTAAATGGTTACTGGCTCCTGCCTCCTAGTCTCGGGCAGGCAGCGGGCTCCTAACCTTACAAAGAAAAAGATGAAAATGCCATAGAAGTAAAAATGCAAGCTAAATATAAGCAAGTTTCCTCCATTCCCTTACGAGTTGCAACTGACTGAAAGTGGTAAATAGGTGGTAAAACTGTAAAAGATTCTTACCTTTGATTTGATTTCGAAGCTCCAGCATCCGGCACGGCAGTCCACCAGGCACCAACCCTCCGACCATAGTCACAATCAATGGCGAATCGTCAACCTTCGATTTCGCCCTAATCGTCGTCTACTCTCCAGTCTCCCCCTCTCTCTGCCGGACAGACAATTGGAATGGGTAATTGGTAATTGAATTGGGTTAAATTGGTTTGGTTTTGTGGGCTAATCACTAATTGAGCCTTTCTTTTAAATAAGGCCCAAAAAATTAAAACAGAAGAGGGGGGGAATTCACCTGGCGCAGCTCCTTCTTCTTCCCCGGAGGATGGCGACAGCCCGGTGAGAACTTGCAGCTTTCGGCGGACCCAGCACGGGCGGCCGCGGGGGCTGGCCAGGTGCTGGATCCGCCCCTGCTCTTGTGCAATTTGTGCTCTGCTGGTCTCAATGTTTTTGTTGGCTAATAGATCCTTCCCCACTATTGTATAACTTTTTTTTTATGACTCAGGTGTCCAAGTTTCGTCCGACTAATCTTGATGAGTGACGGCCTTCTCTCCTAGTTTGCCACTCGGATAAATTCGGATGCGGTCACAGTTTATACACACTTGAATTAGACAATCGGAAAGAAGTTTTATTCCCTGTGAACCTCCTTTTACGACGTGCGGACATGACCCCTGAGGGATGACAAAGCACACCATTTCAGTTGTTGCGGGGATTCGAACCTCCGATATTCTGTAGAAAATTCTTCTGCTTTACCACTGCGCCATACCCGTACCCCCCCCTTTTTTAAGGAGATGAATGGGTTTTACTCCTTTCACAAGTACGTTGAAGTCAACAGAATCAAAAAATGAAAAGCACTTGAGCATTTTATAATTGGTACGCCATGTGAGGGGGGTG